TGCATGGTGCAGGGTTTTTTTGCATTTCTTGACTGTTGTGAATATCTCTGTGTGAGCAGTGGTGTCCCGCTCATAGAATAGAATAGATAAGGGAGTCAGATGACTGACTGAGGAACTTGGCCTTGGCCACTGGTGAATAAAGCTGGTAGGTAACTTCTGGTGTTGGAAAGGAGGGGCCGACAGATAAACACTGACTCCCCAGCCCCCACCCCTTAGCCAAGGTAGCCCCACACAGTGGGTGTTTCTGGTTTGGTTTTGGTTTTGTTTGTGTAGCAAATTAATGATATAGGGCAGTAATTTGGGAAGTTGATCCTATGTCCCACCCTATTGTGAGGCTAAGCCCTAGTTCAGCATCTTAGAGAAGGTATTGAACTAAATAAATATAAGGTATGGCTAGTCCCTCTGCAGGGAAAACATCCACAGCCTAACAGACTTGGATCCAGGTGGACTCTGTCTCAGAGATGTGCAGTGATTTCCATCGTTGAAGATGGTGTTAGAGATTTTTCCTTTTTTTTTTTTTTCTTTTTTGTTGAAACAGGGTTTCCCTGTAGTGCTGGCTGTACTGGACTTCCTCGCTCTGTAGACCAGGCTGGCCTTCACAGAGATCTACCTGCCTCTGCCTCCCAAATGCTGAGATTAAAAAAAAATTAAATTAAAATTAAAAAAAGGCCTGCATGCCTCGCCAGGAAATCTCCCTACCCCTAGATGTCTTTTTCCTGTAATTTGGAGATCCGCTTGCCTCTGCCTGTACCTGTGCTAGGATAGGATGTGCTTTAACCCACCACCTGCTCCCTGTCTCTTGGCTTCTAATCCTGGTTTCAGGGAGGGGGGAGTTTGGTTGCTCCTTTTTTTTTTTTTTTTTTTTTGTATTTTGAGTCAGAGTTTCTCTGTGTCTGTGTAGCCCTGCCTGTCTTGAAACTCTGTAGACCAGACTGGCCTCTAATTCACAGAGATCTGCCTGCTACTACCTCTTGAATGCTGGGATTAAATGTATGCACCATTCTGCCTGGCTATTTTACTCTTTTTTTTTTGTATTTTTTTATTGATATTTATTGGTCTCTACATTTTTCTCTGCTCCCCTCCCTGCCTCTCCCCTTCCTCCTTTAATTCTCCCCCAAGGTCCCCATACTCCCAATTTACTCAGGAGATCTTGTATTTTTCTACTTCCCATGTAGGTTAGATCTATGTAAGTCTCTCTTAGTGTCCTCATTGTTGTCTAAGTTCTCTGGAATTGTGGTTTGTAGGCTGGCTTTCTTTGCTTTATGTTTAAAAAACACCTATGAGTGAGTACATGTAATAATTGTCTTTCTGTGTCTGGGTTACCTCACTCAAAATGATGTTTTCTAGCTCCATCCATTTTCCTGAAAAAGTCAAGCTGTCATTTTTTTCTGCTGTGTAGTACTCCATTGTGTAAATATACCACTTTTTTTTTTTTATCCAATCTTCGCTCGAGGGGCATTTAGGTTGTTTCCAGGTTCTGGCTATGACAAACAAAGCTGCTATGAACATAGTTGAGCACATGTCCTTATGGCACGATTGAGCATCCTTTGGATATATATCCAAAAGTGGTATTACTGGGTCTTGAGGAAGGTTGTTTTCTAATTTTCCTTGAAATCACCACACTGACATCCACAGGGGTTGTACCAGCTTGCATTCCCACCACCAATGCAGAAGTGTTCCCTTTTCCCCACAACCTCTCCAGCATAAGTTGTCATCAGTGTTTTTGATCTTGGCCATTCTTACAGGTGTTAGATGGAATCTCAGAGTTGTTTTGATTTGCATTTCTCTGATGATTAAGGATGTTGAACATTTCTTTAAGTCTCTTTCAGCCATTTTAGATTCCTCTGTTGAGAGTTCTCTGTTTAGGTCTGTACTCCATTTTTTTTAATTGAATTATGTGATCTTTTGGTGTGCAATTTCTTGAGTTCTTTGTATATTTTGGAGATCAGACCTCTGTGGGGTTAGTGAAGATCTTTTCCCATTCTGTAGGCTGTCGTTTTGTCTTGTTGACCATGTCCTTTGCTTTACAGTTTCAGGAGGTCCCATTTATTAATTGTTTCTCTCAGTGTCTGTGCTGCTAAGGTTCTATTTAGGAAGTGGTTCCCTGTGCCAATGCGTTCAAGTGTACTTCCCACTTCCTTTTCTAAAAGGTTCAATGTGGCTGGCTTTATGTTGAGGTTTTGATCCATTTGGACTTGAGTTTTGTGCATGGTGATAGATATGGGTCTGTTTGCATTTTTTCTACATGTTGATATCCAGTTATGCCAGTACCACTTGTTAAATATGCTTTCTTTTTTTCCATTTGATATTTTTTGCTTCTTTATCAAAGATCAGATGCTGAAGACGTGTGGATTGATATCTGGGTCTTCTATTCAGTTCCATTGGTCCTCCTGTCTGTTCTTATGCCAATACCAGGCTGTTTTCAGTACTGTAGTAGAGTTTGAAGTCAGGGATTGTGATGCCTCCAGACGTTCTTTTATTGTACAGGATTGTTTTGGCTATCCTGGGTTTTTTCCTTTTCCATATGAAGTTGAGTACTGTTCTTTTGAGGTCTTTGAAGAATTTTTCTGGGCATTGTGTTGAATCTGTTATTTTACTCTTTTAAACAGAGTTTGACTGTGTAGTTATGACTGGCTTCAGACTTGCAACAGTCCTCTGCCTCGACTCCGGGTGCCGATTGTAGGTGTGAGCCCCGCACCCAGCCTCAACAGTAGTTGTTTTATCTGCCTCTGTAGCACTGTTGGAATTTTCCTCCAGTTGATTGGGTTTGAACTCCTGGCTGTAATGTCCCAGGTCCTTCTTGTGTCCGCTGCTGGCTCTGCTTTAGCAAGCTACATTTGCACTTAGGAAACCTTCCACCTCTGCCCTGCCCTCAAAGCCAGTAATGACCCTTGCTCTAGAGAGAGTTTGGTGTTCAGGCCGTCCCCCAGATGACCTGATCTCCTACTGGCCTCTGGACCTGGCTGGGATCCTCCCTCCTCCTCCCTGAGAAGGGGGTGGAGTTTCCCACAGTTTCAATTTAGTTTTATTGAATTTTATTGTTCCTCGAGGCTATTGAAGCCAATCATCATTACTACTGACAGCAAGAGCCAAGAAGAGAAAAACTCTGCATAGCCAGCCAGTCCTAGCTGGCTTGAACTTATTATGTATACCAGTATGCCCTCAAATTTACAGGGATCCTCTCACTTCTAGGACCACTACAGCTCGTGTGTGTGTGTGTGTGTGTGTGTGTGTGTGTGTGTGTGTGTGTGTGTCTCGGAGGAGTGGTCATGTAGAGTCCAGCCTCCCTGGTACACCACTTTGCCCTGCTTTGTTCATGGTGCCACAGGGGATCAGGTTCTCGTGCTTGAATTAAGGATGCGTTTGTATGCTCAGGAGTGCAGGTGCCCTCAGAGGTCAGAGGAGGGCATCAGATCCCCTGGAGGTGGAATTCCAGGCAGTTGTGAGTCACCAGATGTTAGTGCGAGGTCCTAAACTCAGGTCCTCTATAGAAACTCTTCACTGCCGAGCCACCTCTCCAACTCTAGCCTTCTTTTAGACTGGGTCTCACTATGTGACTTTGACTAGCCTAGACCTCTATGTAAACCAGGATGTTTACATATGTCACATGCACCTGCCTCGCATCTTGAGTGCTAGGACGAGAGGTGTGTGTTACACCTGGCAGCTGTGAACTGATTGCTTTTCCACGTTCCAAGTGATGTGATTACAGGTGTATACACCTTGTCCAGTTTGTGTTGCTGAAAATCTACCCAGACTTTATGCATGCCAGGTATCCCCTGAGCTACACACTCGTGATGCTCTTCCTGCCTAGAAAGTTTATCGTGATAGATGCCACGGGGTTTCTTGAAGGAGGATCCTCCTGTGCCACAGATACTGACATTCTGGGTCTCAGGTCTCTCTGCCCAACTTGGTTAGCTGTGTTCTGAGTGCTTGTCGCATATAAAATCTCTGCCTCCTCCAAGAGCCAGCAGTGTCACCTGTGCCCTTTGTTGCCAGGCACATCTGGGCAGGACTTGGCACCTATGGTGGGATGCTGCTCTGCGAATCTTCTGCAGCACAGTACCCACCTCCTGGCTCCATTCCTCTGACCTGTTCTGCAGTGGTGGCAGCCACTGTGTTTTGTTCCTTGAAATGAAAGCTTGCAGATTTGGAAAAGAAACAAAAATGATTTGTGTCAGCTAGGTAAAAGTGCCCATGAGTGACCTGTAAAGAGCTTAGGGTCATGCTTTGATTTTTTACTGCCTATTCCGTTGGTTCTCATGTTTTTAACAAAAATCGGGTGTGTCTAGTTCTAGCTTACGTCCAGTGTGTTAATGCATATTGCCTTTCCGGTCAGGCAGACATGATGAAACCATGTGCTTACCTAGACACACAAATGCTCCTTAACTTACATAATTGCAAATAGAGCTGCATTTATCAACCCAACTCCCTGAATGTAGCAACGGCATGGTTCCTTCCCCTTGTGACTGCAAGCTGCGCCCCGTTTGCAGCATCATGTTCCTTGGCCCTGTTTGAGTAAGGGTGGGCCAGTGAGGTGGCTCAGTGCATAAAGACATTTGCTGCCAAGCTTGACAACCTAAGTTGGAACCCCAGGAGAGAACAGACATCCACAAATTTTCCTCTGACCTCCACACTTGTCACAGCACGCATGCACACCCGCAATATATAAATAAACCAACAAATAAAAGTAATGAGTGTGCTTTGAAGTCCTGCCAGCAGCAGAGGGTATTTAAAGACACGCTTTCATGATTCTGCTTTGGCATCTGAGTTTGCACATAGGGTGTGATCTGTATTTATAGTGACAGCAGCCATGGCTCTAAATGATGAGACTTTCCATCTCCCCTGCTGTCCTGTGATTCTTGGACATGTCAGCCCATGTATCCTTTACAGCATTCTGTGTCATGTCCCTGTTAGAAGTACATGCACTTGTGTCTGTGGATGGATTGGGTGGTTGACTGGGAGATGTATTATCCCTGCATGTGTTTTTCTTCTGTTTCCAGCTGACACCGAAGATGTGTGCATCGTGGAGAGATTGTTTTCAAGCAGTTTGGTGGCCATCGTCAGCCTCAAAGCTCCCAGGAAACTGAAAGTTTGCCACTTTAAGAAGGGAACTGAGATATGCAACTACAGCTACTCCAACACAATACTGGCTGTGAAGCTGAACAGGCAGGTGCGTGGCACCTTGTACTAGTAAGCAGCTCAGTTGGTAGAGAACCTACCATGCCCCAAGTCCTGGGTACCATCCCAGGCACAGCGTAAAACCGGCTTAAGTGGTGTACACCTGTAATCTGAGCACTCTGAGAGGTAGTGGCAGGAAGATCAGAAGTGTGAGAGCCTATCTCAAAATGCGAGGAGGGCTGGGAAGATGTCTCAGAGAGAGAGAGAGAGGTCTTACTGCATAAGTACAAGGACCTGAGCTGAATCGCCAGCATAAAACCTCAGGTTGGCCATAGGTACCCTAACCCTAGCATTGTAGGGGGCGGAGGCAGGAGGATTGTTGTGGTTTACTGGCTACCTGCCTTAGCTCCAGGTTCAGTGAGAGACCGTGTTTCAAGGGAATAAGGCAGAGGATAATAGAGCAGGACAGGTGACATCTCTGGCTAATCCCCATTTCTCATAGATGCGTAGATGCACACACAAGAACAGCAGCAAACAAAGAAACCAAGTGTGTACTGCTGTCATTCAGTGTTCCTCCCACGTCTCACTCTGTTGGGCTTTCAACCCTGCACCATTACCTCCCCAGCCCTGCACCATCATTTCTAGGTCCCTGAATGTCTTTTCTTTGGGTTTTTGAAGCAGGATGTCTATGTAGCCCTGGCTGCCCTGGAACTTGCTATGTAGACCAGGCTGGCTCCAAATTCACAGTGATCCATCTGCCTCTGCTTCCAACTCCTGAACATATTTCCTCAGACAAACCATTAGCTTCATTCTCAGCATCTTTGACCTGGTAGTCCTATGCGCTGCTTTGCCCCAGCCCACTCCATTTGTCCTCAGGACACTAGTCTTGTCTGTTACTGTCTCCCCGGATGCAGGTCCAGGGATAGCATCGGCTTTTTATGCAGTGCCTTCTTTTGCTTTCAAAGATTCTCTTCCATCTTTTCCTTCTGTGGGTTGTTCCTGTGATGTATATTTTTCCTCAAATCAACAGAACAAGCCCCTTGTGTAGAGCGTTTTCATGTGTTTTCTGAGAGTCCTGGCTGCAGTTTGCACACAGGTAGCCACTGCAGAAGAGCCTCCAGCGTTTTCTGTGTACAGCAGCAGTCAGATTCCAGAGACTGCGTTGTTTTTAAAGCAGTTAAGCAGACATGTGCGTCCTGGTTGCCTGATTGAACTGGGAGTTGGCCCCATCCGTCAGTTAGTTCATCTAGGAAGTTATGGGATATACTTTGCAAGTTTAAAACATAGCAGATTCATGCTCCAATATAGCTGATGTGAAGTGTGTGTGCCAAGCCCCTCACAGAAATCAATCGCAGCAGTAGCAGCTAGGAGCTCCAGCAGCCCCACCACCACCCACATCAGGTGGCTCACAGCCGCCACCTGTAACTCTAGCTCCAGGGGGATTTCACACACTTTTTCCACCTCAGGAACTAGCACACAAAGTACACATGCATACATGCACATACAAAGTGAGCTAAGACTTTGCAGCAAAATAATCAATCTGTGCACACTGTAACGTTTTATACTTTTCATAAATCCCCATGCTCTTAGTTGTATTTTACCCATACCTCATTCACCATAGGTTTTTTTTGTTTGTTTGTTTGTTTTTGTTTTTGTTTTTGTTTTTGTTTTGCTACTCGGGGTAGACCTCACACATGAGAGGCAAGTACTTTTACTGCTAAGCTACATCTCCAGCCCCTTTTTACTTATTTTGTAACGGGGCCTCAAACTTTCCATGCCCCTGCCTCAGTCTCTCTGCAGTAGGTAGATGATGGGCCTGTGCACTTGGCTGGGCTCGCCAGGTTGCTGTTAGGTTTGCGTGTGTGTGTGTCTGTGTGTCTGTGTCTGTACACTTGCCTTCTACCGTATTTGAGGCAGGGTGTCTTGCTTGCCACTGTGTACACCAGGCTGCTAATGATCTTCCAGGGAATTCCCGTCTCCACCTTCCATCTTGCCATAATGGCAGTGCCACATCCGGAGTTATGTGGGTCCTAGGGGTCCCCTGTCCTCACACAGTAAGTGCTATTATCCACTGAGCCATCTCCTCAGCCCTCACCTGTTGTGAGTTTTTATCTGTCCTGTCAACTGCCAGCCAGCTCCCAAACCACAACAGAGAAATTTCTTATTAATTATGAAAGCTCAGTCGATAGCTTAGGCTTGTTTCTGACTAGCTCTTATAACTTAAATTAACCCATATCTTTTAATCTACATTCTTTATGTGGCTCGGTTACCTTCACCCTATACTGCACATGCTGTTTCCTCTGTCTGTCTTGGGATTCCGCCTTTCTTCTCCCAGAGTCCTGTCTGCCCGGAAGTCCTCCTTTTGGCTGTTCAGTTCTTTATTGCAGCAGTCCCAACAGTACATTCTCACACAGTGTGCAGGAGTATTCTGTACACTCACCCTAATTTCCTAAACATCACTCAAGCACACAGTACTGAATTAAGTCACCTTTTAGAATCTGTAGTACTCTTGTCATATGTAGTTATGGGAGCTGATGCGAATGGGCAAAAAACCTGATCGGCAGTGGAAAGGCAGCTGCACACACTTGCTCTGTACACAGCCTACATCGTGTCCTAGGTTTGGAGAGTATCTTGATCCAGGAGTCAGCTGAGTTGGAACTCGGCACTTGCTGCCCCAGTCCTCCTTCATGCTTGGTGGTCTTTGTTTTCACTGTTTCTAGAGGCTCATTGTGTGTCTGGAGGAGTCACTCTATATACACAACATCCGGGACATGAAGGTACTTCATACCATCCGAGAGACACCCCCAAACCCTGCAGGTAAGCCATTGCTCAGGAGGTCCTGAGCTGGTGAGATGACTGAACAGGTAAAGGCACTTGTCGCCAGACCTGACTACGTCAGTTTGGTTCCTAGAATCCACAATATGGGAAGAGAAAACCAACTTCTGCACCTTGCCCTCTGACCTTCCACATGCACTGTAGCATGCATGTCACCAGCCACATACACACACATACAAACAAACCAAAAATAAACAAGTACAATTTTTTTTTTAATTTTTTATGTGTTGGTGTTTTGCCTGCATGTATGTCTGGGTCCCCTGGAACTGGAGTCACAGACAACTGCGAGCTTCCCTGTGAGTGCTGGGAATTGAACCTGGACCCTCTGATAAAGCAATCAGTACTCTTAAGCTCAGAGCCTATCTCTAGCCCCATCCAATTTATTTTTTTTAAAAAAGGAAGGTCCTTGTTTCTTTAAGGGGACTTTTAAAGATAACTGCAGGCCAGTGGGTTGGCTCAGCAAGTAAATGGGCACTTACTGCTAAGTCTGAGGACCTGAGTGCCACTCCTAGAGCACACATGGTGGAAGGAGAGAACAGCTCTTCTAAGTTGTCCTCTGACTCACACACCTTGGCACGCATGCATGCACACTTCATAAACAAACATACTAAAGACAGCCATCGGTGGGAGTTTCCTCTCTGGTCCGTACACATGAGGCAGGTATAAAATGTGGTAGGTGTAAACTGAACAGCCTTCCCCCTGGTCCAGTCCTGCTGAGCCTCCATCCCAGCGGGGCTCTCTTGTGAATGTGTAAGCCCATTGGTCGTCAGATCTGCGATAGCCCAGCCTTCTGGTCATCATTAACCAAAGTCCTTTCACCTCTGAGTGACACCGGCAGGCAAGATGGCCTGGGACACAGAGCTTGTGAGTGTGCAGACAAGGTTTAGCTGCTACTTTTTATTGGTTTTGTTCCAGAATTATGAACTCCGCTCTGACACTAAACAGTATCCTAGACTCAGTGTGCATTCAGTTGTCGTGTGTTTCCACAGGCTTGTGTGCACTGTCAATAAACAACGACAACTGCTACTTGGCGTACCCAGGGAGTGCGACCATTGGAGAGGTGCAGGTCTTCGACACCATTAACTTGGTAAGGTCCTTGCGAGGCTCCGATGGATGTGTTTTGCTGGGAAGACATGCAGTGCACCCTTGGCCCAGCAGCATGGCTTTCCCTGGGGCTCTCCTTAAGTGGCAGAGCGGATCTGGCTAAGCTGCCTGTGTTTCACCAGCGCTCAGTGCTGAGCAGTGTTTCCACAACCTGCCTGACATGTGGCTGTGCTACTCAGGTTGACCCTAGGAATGGTGTTCTTACAGCCGCTCCCACTGATGGTTCAGTGGAGCCTGGGGACAAGACTCTTGTGTAACAGTCATGTTTTCTTGATTCCCCTTTTCAGAGAGCTGCAAACATGATCCCGGCTCATGACAGTCCCTTAGCAGCCCTGGCTTTTGACGCAAGTGGGACCAAGCTTGCCACTGCTTCTGAGAAGGTATGTCTGACTGCCATGGCTGAGGGAAACCTGGATCAATGGTCTCCACAAGCCTTGCTCATTCTGGTCACGCAGTCCAAGTTCCAAGCAGGTTTTTCTGTTCCCCAATGTACAGAAAAAGCAAAAAGAGCCCACAGTGTGAATTATCCACAGTGTTAGCTTTCCACCCTGCGAAAATGGGCCAAGGGAAGCAACCTCTATGGAAGACAAATGGATTAGTTGGTGTTCAGTAAGCTCTGTCACTTTGAACCTGTCCCATGGCCAAAAACTGCTCATATGGTAGCTAGGAGAAGCAGGGGGCGGGGGGCATGCTAACAGACTAGATGAACTTGCTCTTGGCCTCATCTCTTGAAGCTTCCACCACCACACCACCACACATTAGTGCCACTGGCTGGGGACCTTGAAACTATAGCAGTGTGCCACTGTTTGACATACTGCAGGGGCCAGTGAGATGTTTCAGCAAGTATGTATGTTGGTGTTTATGAACATGTTTGTATATGCACAGGTGCATGTACATATGTAGAGCAGGCCGGAAGCTGACATAGGACCTGAGAGTTCAATTCCTGAAGCATGATAGGAGAGAACTGACTCCTGCAGGCTGTCGTCTGGCTCATGTGCACTATGCTGCATGCACTCACAAAAATACACACACATTACCGAAAAAAAGCAAATGCTTGTTTGTGGCATAAAATAGGAAAGCATCGGACATGGTAGTGACTCAAGAAGCAGGTAGGTCTCTGAATTCAGAGCCAGTCTGATCTACATAGTGAGTCCCAAGCTAACCAGAGACGTAGTAGGACCTTGTCTCAAAAACAGCAGTGCCACACACCCCACTCAGAGGCACAAGCAGGTAGATCTCTGAGGCTACTTGGTCTACCAGCCAAGGCTATTAATACAGAGAAACCCAGTCTTAAATCCACATATACAAAACAACAACAAAAAACATTTACAATACAATGGCTAAAATATTTTTTAAACATCATTGTATTGAAACGTTGATGTTGTGTCTTGCATATTGTTATTGCAGGTAATGGTGTGTTTAAGTCATGTAAATCCCAAGTATGTGTGTTCAATTATTAGCATAAGTATTCCAGTAAAGGCTATAGGTGAAGGCGTGGCGCTTTAGTATGCTCCACGTTTGGTTTCGAGGCTGCTTATGTCTGGATTGGTAAACTGACTTTAAGCAATGTCATGGTAGTGAGCAAGCATGGGATGTAATGTTCTGGTCCTTGGCAGCAAGGTATGGTTCCCCCAGGCCTGGAGCTCAAAGAGGAGCCAGACCCCCCTTCCGCCAAGCCACTCCTGGAAATAGCCTGCACGGCTTGTTCGCATGTGGAGCTGTGTGAAAAAGCAGGAAGGGCGGTTTTTTGTTTTGTTTTTGGTCAGCTAAAATTCTGTTTTCTTCCCCCCTTTTCCTCTCTCTGACCCAGGGGACTGTGATTAGGGTGTTCTCCATTCCAGAGGGACAAAAGCTGTTCGAGTTCCGGAGAGGAGTGAAGAGGTGAGTACACGGGTTCCAGGCTGCTTACGGAGCGTCCCTGTGGGTTGCAGTCTCTGAAGACAAGCAGCTCAGTCACAGCACCCTCCTGAACTGGTCTTGGAAGGGCAAGACAAAGCGTTGCAGTGAAAGCTGCTTGGCTTCACGTCTGTGAGCCTGCCTGAACCAGAGGAGGACTGTGTAGCAGTCTCCCCCAGCCTGGGCTGTACAGTAATGCTGTCTGCAAACGCTTCAGGAGAAGAGCCACAACCCAGATGCTAGTCTCCTTCCGGGACTATGCCTTTGTCTTCTTCACACACACCTAGATGACTCTGTGTCCAGTGTCTGCCAGGAGCCTCTCTGCACCCTCATTGTCCCCCACAGCCTTCCTATTGGGGAATGTTGGAAACACTGGAAGGATTAAGGGAAAATGTGTGTATTTAGGCTGTGGAATGTTTAGTGACCTCGGAGACACGTGCTGGGGTAATGCCCTAAGACATCAGCACTGCTGGCTGACCCACCTGGTCAGCCACTACAGCTGCATCCTAATCCACTGTCCTAGTCAGTGTCTGTTGCTGTGCAGAGACCCCATGACCACGGTGACTCTTATAAAGGAAAGCGTTTAATTGAGGCTGGCTTACAAGTTCAGAGGTTTAATCCGTTATTGTCATGGTGGGAAACATGGCAGTGTACCGACAGACATAGTGCTGGAGAAGGAGCTGAGAGTTCTCCATCTTGATCTGCAGGCTGCAGGAAACTGCCATGCTAGGCATATCCTAAGCATGTGATACCTCAGAGTCTGCCTCCACAGTGACACCCCCTAATTGTGGCAATCCCTGTGGGTCAAGCATTCAAATATATGAATCTTTGAGGGCCATTCCTATTCAAACCACCACACCTAAAACTGGTTCCATACAGCCACACAGTCTTGGTTATTTGAAATCAAAATAAAAATAAGTTAAAGATGTTTGTTGAAGAATTTTTCTTAGCTGAGTGTAGTGGCTCACATCTTTTGTCTCAGTAACAGGTAGGCAGACTGAAGGATCTCTGTGAGTTCAAGGATACTAGGACTATATAGTAAGGCCCTGCCTCAAAAGTGGGGGTGCAGAGGGAAGTGGGCTAATCTGAATACACGTGGGAGACAAAGGGGAGGGAATGATTGCAATGTGTCCCCCCCCCAAAAAAAGACATGGTTTCTCTGTGTAACCCTTTGTAGCGCCTGTACTGCGGGATGGCACGTGAGCTGGGAACTGGGCTAGAAACTTAAAAACACACACACACACAGACATGGGGACACGGGTTATTCTTGATACAAGAATGTCCACTTTATTGTGCTCAGGGAAAGCTTATATAGGACTCTGGCCACGCCCCAGCTCTCAGGATCTTTCAGCTGCAGACCCACTCCCCTGCCATCAGAGTCTCGTGCTCAGAGCAGAGGAAAACAAGTTGTTTACAAGAAATTCAGGTCTGGTGGTCCACAGTCCCCAACAACCCTGGCTGTCCTGGAACTTACTCTGTAGACCAGGCAGGTCTCGAACTCAGAGATCCACTTGCCTCTGCCTCCCAAGTGCTGGGATTAAAGGCGTGCGCCACCACATCCGTCTTGAATAATTGTAATTTCAAAGCCAGACTGATCTGCATACTGAGTTCCAGGCTAGCCAGAATTACAAAGTGAGACTATCTCAAAAAGCAAAAATATTGTTCTTACTGGTTTTATCGCAAGCAAGTTCCTGTGTCTCCTGAGGAGGTGGCCGAGAAGACCAGAAAGACTTCTGTAGGGCTGAGTGCCTCTGACAAGGTTTTCTCTTCTGTGGTCACAGTTAAAGTCCCTGGGAAGGCATGGCTGCGCTCCCCACCCCCAGCTGCTGCCAGTGTGTTCTGTGGTGGCAGGCGAAGCTGAGCCCTGTCTGACCCTTCCTGTTCCTCAGGTGTGTGAGCATCTGCTCCCTGGCCTTCAGCATGGACAGCATGTTTCTCTCCGCATCCAGTAATACCGAAACTGTGCATATCTTCAAACTTGAGGCTGTGAGGGAAAAGTGAGTTGCAGAGATTTTTTTTCTTCTTCTTTTTCTTTCTTTGGTTTTTCAAGGTGGGTTTCTCTGCGTAGCCCTGGTTGTTCTGTAACTCGCTCTGTAGACCAGGCTGGCTTTGAACTCAGCAATCTACCTGCCTCTGCCTCCTGAGTGTGGGATTAACGGTGTGTGCCATCACTGCTCAGCTAAAAACAAGCTTTTCTAACATGGTTTGTTGGGGGTGGGAGACACTGAGGATCAAACCGAAGGTCTTAGCATTGTTGCAGCAGGGCTCTACTTTTAAGGGTTGATAAGATGGCTCAGTGGGTAAAAGTGTCAAGCCTGACAACCTGAATTTCATCCCTGAGAACCAAGTGGGGAAATACACTCATGTACATTGTCCTCTGGCTCCACAAGCATACTGGAGCATTTGCACCTCACACAATAAGATTTTGAATTAATTTAAAAGTGAACTATGCACACTCACTAGAAAAGCATGGCACAGAGCCACCCTGCTCTTGGCACCATTTCTGGGTACAGATATGGTCTGACTGTAGAGTGGGCACAACACCACCAAGCCCAGCTTCATCATGAGACTTCTGCTCAGAGGATGTGCTGGGGTCCCAAGGTTGTTTTATGATCGGTTGCTGTGTGTCCCCACTCCACACCGTATGTACTGGGGCATCTGGGATCAGCCAGCCACTGGAATGAATGTCACAGCTCTGACCCGCTCACAGGTCATCAAGGAGGTGGGTGCTTCCATCTTAAACTTTTTAAGTCACTACCACAGATGTGTGTGGTAGCGACTTGTCTCTTCCTTCCACACATTTCAAGAGCATCTCACTGGGGCCGGTGGGATTGATGGGAGCTTATGTCCTATCCAAGAGTCTGTTGTTAAAAGCATGCACGAGATACACAACAAAGGGGTGCGCAGCAGCCAACAGGACACCCTGAGTGGGACCCCCAGGACCCACATTGTAAAACAGGGACCTGACCAATATAGTCACAAGTGCACATGCTAAAGAGACGTATGATGGGAACTTGAATGAGTCTGGTTTGGGCGCTGCTACTCCAGAGCATGCTCCTGGAGGTATGCTATCATGGCCATAGCGACCTGGCAGGGGGACACAGGATGCTCTGTGCTCTGCACAGCCGATCTTTTGTGAAGTGTGGAGGGTTGATCAGTGGGTCTAGGGCTGCCTCTGTCGTTCTCAGTGATGTTCCAGCCTCCCCTGTGTGATGGTGCTTCCTTCCAGACCTCCAGAGGAGCCCACCACCTGGACCGGCTACTTCGGGAAGGTACTTATGGCATCTACCAGCTACCTGCCCTCACAAGTGACAGAAATGTTCAACCAGGGCAGAGCCTTTGCTACTGTCCGCCTACCATTCTGTGGCCATAAAAACATCTGCTCATTAACCACGTGAGTACAGACTGAGCTTGTGCCCCACCCTCTGCCCGTGCACATCAGGGCCAGGGAGCAGACACGGTGCTTGTTGCCAGGTTGCAGAGGTGTGTGTGACCCTGTCCGACCTGTCCAGGCCATCAAGTACTGCCTAGCGCGGGAAGACCTCCAGGCCTGAGACCTGGTGTTTTCTGGCGTCCTCACCACAGAACTTCCTTTTGCATTTTGCAGGGTATTTGTGTTGATGAGAAAAATTAAGTCAGACAATAGGAAATAGACACTCTGTAGTTGCAGTATCCAGGAGCACATGGGTCCTGCTTGTACAGTTGGGATGCTCTTCTGTAAGTCTGGCTCTGGAAATTGACATGTTTTCCAATTCGAATAGCTAAAAGGCTGCAGTTTAGTGCCTTGCTAGAACGAGCACAAGCATATTTGAAAAGCTTATAGGCAGACCCACCCTCAGACCGGGAGGTGCTCAGTGGGCATCGGCTCTGTCCTCAGCATCCACATAAGAGCCAGCTGTGGTCACACTAGGGAGGCTGGGGCAAATGGGTCACTGGGACTTCCTGGCTGCCAGCCTACATCCAGTTCTGTGGAATAAAGCCCAGAGTGGTAGAGCAGGACATCTCACACCCTCGTCTGGCTTCCCCACGGGCGTGTATAGATGAGTGCGTGTATATACACACACAGGAAAGAGAGAAAATACCCTCTCTTAGTGACCAGAGAAACTGACAGCTACCCTGCTCCAGAATCTGCTCTTTGGGATTCAGTGTGTGCTCACACCCAGGCCACCCTTGGCTTTACCAGCTTCACTCTGAGGAGCCCAGGTACTGCATTCATCCAGTGCGCTGGTGGGTTCTTCCTGGCCTGACTGAGATGTAGGTTTAGTGAGACGGCTTTTGTGAAAGGGAAAGAAGTCTTCCTTCTAAAATATGGGCTGCTTTTCTTTAGAATTCAGAAGATCCCACGGTTGTTGGTAGGAGCATCAGATGGCTATTTATACATGTACAACCTGGACCCCCAGGAAGGTGGCGAGTGTGCCCTGATGCGTCAGCACAGGTGAGGCTGATCTGCATGGCAGTGCAGCTGTGGGCACTGCGGTAGGTCTGTGCTTTCATCCCCTTAAGGCCAGTCTGATAGCCTGTGTCATTGGCCAGCATCATCTCCCTGTTGAATTTCACTTTTCTGGTGCTAAGAGCCTCTGCTTTCCCTTGCTGGCACAGGACCGTTCAGGGCCAGGAAGGAAAGACACCTGAGTCTGTGGTGGTCTGTGTGTGGTGATTGGGTGGCCCCCGGGCCCTTGCTGAGGGTGAGGCTCAGGGTTTATAGTAAGGTGGCCTCACAGGAGCCTGCCACCCCACCTCAGGATGCAAGTTGGTGATTGAGATGTGTGTGACTTTACCAGTGTTAAGGTCACTGTGCGGAAACCCCAGGAGGCAGATTTTTGGTGGACGTGTTCTGTCAGGTGGGAGCAGGCGTCTGTGGCACTCCCTCCTTGGCTGGCACCTCAGGCCCCAGGATGTGCTATACCTACTGTGTCCATCTGTCCTTTGGGACAAATCCTGCTCTGCACACAAGGCTGACCTCTAACTAAGGGGAATCCTTCTTGCCTCAACCTGAGATTTTTGAGAACGAGCCGGCATACTCGGCTTAGAACAGTGAGCCTGACCCTGTTCATTTGCTGTCTGTAGGCTTGATGGCAGCATGGAGACGACCAGCGAGATTGTGGACTCTGCCTCTCATGACTGCCCCTTAGTAACACAAACGTACGGCGCAGCAGCTGCCAAAGGTGCCTATGTGCCCTCATCCCCAACGAGGCTTGGTAAAGGGCAGGACACCAACTTAGAAGGTAACTGAGCAACTGTTTCCAAATTCTTCTGTACCGTGTTGTCGCTGGAGATGCCACTTCCCGCTGAGCTGTGGAACAGAACTTCTTCCAAGGCTTGTGAAAGTTAGCTTATAGTCTTCATTTTGGGGGAAAAGGCAGTCGTTGTGGCCAGTGACTCTGGTTGTCCTCTGTAAGTAGCATGTCCTTCATGCATCATGGGCAGAGACCACTAGTGCTGACACCTGAGCTCGCTCAGGCACACCCCTCTCCATCCCTAAACTCAAGGGGTTTGCTAGCAAGAGAGATTGTGCTAGCTCCCATGTTGTGAAGCATCCTTCAGCCATAACACATGATCTGTGTTGTCTCCAGCTAGAGTCCTCTGAAGTCTCCTTGGTCACTCGTAAGAGAGTCTGCATTCAGTTACCACTGTTTATTCTACAGGACTTGTGTGTGGTGCATGCTGGGAAATGGGTGATATCATTTGACTCTGCCTGAGGCTCTAGAGGCCTAAGTTTTCTGACTGGATTGGAAAGGTCTTAGTGTGGCCAAAGGCATAACTGAGGCCATCTCCGGGACACAGCTTGTCATTGGTGCACAGATAGCATCAGTAACCGGGCAAGTTCTGTGAGGGTGGCACTCTTATCTCTTTGCAGCCTACACAGATGACCTGGGTGCCGTGGGGGGCACTTGCCTGGAGGATGAAGCCAGCGCCCTGCGCCTGGATGAAGACAGCGAACATCCTCCCATGATTCTCCGGACTGACTGATCCTGACCTGTGAACTCTGGCCCAGGAGCAGAGAACACTGGCCTGGCAGAGGACTTGTGCATTGCTGCTATGAACTTTGACCTGAATTGATGGAGAGGATGGCAGAGACTTTAAAGCGAAGAGATTGTAGTTCTAGTTTATCCATACTGTCAAGAAAATACACTGTTTTTCAGTGACTTTAATCCTGCTTATGAATTTTAGCTTTTTATTTTCTCTCACTCTTTATTTTTTTTTTTTTAATTTTTTTCTTGCCAAAATTAACTGAAGTCTGTGGCGTCTCCTTGCTTTGCATGCGTGATGTGCCAAGCCAGCATAGGAGAGCCACTCCATAGCAAAGCAGAGTTGTCAGGTCTCATGGCAGGGCACGAATGAAGACAGCAGCTCTGTGTGCAGTGATCCTGCAGGGGCAGGGCCCATCCGCCCACTGAGACAGCCCCACCTGGACCATTTTCCTCCAATTTATATTCTCTTTCCAGATTGAATCGTTCTGGAACTAGCTTTCTCCGTGGGGGACTGTTGTTTGGGGTCTGTTCTCCATGGGGATCTTGAGGGAGAGAGGCAGTTTCTGCTCTGCACCTTCTTTTCTGGCAGGTGACCTTGGCGATGTGCCCGGGCAGCCTGGAGCCAAGGAAGGCAATCTCGTTTGTGTCATTAAATGCTCTGTCTCCTACTGTCCCCGTCCGCTAACTGTGGCTTGGTTTGTTGTTTTAAAGGAGAGTGTAGCTACTCCCGTGCCCAAATAAGCACAAAGGTATAAGATGCTGCGTCAGCCGCCAGGCGTCCGTCTGCGGTCTGGAGCTGTGCTGTCTGCCAGGGGCTCCCCTCTCTCCACTCCCCAGAGTTAGCAACAGGTAGAGAGGCCCCAGGGAGACAGTGGGTCCTCCCCCGATCCCCCACCCCAGTGACGTGCCTTTTCTTTCTTGGTCTTTACGTGTGCAGGAATATGATGTCAGGTTCCAGGGCTGCCCTCACTTCTGTTTGCTTTTGACTTTTTGGTGGCTTTGGGGGAAGTACAGATTCACATTATAGCCAAGACTGCCCTAGAACTCACTGTATAGCCAGCACTGGCCTCAGATTTAGAGCAGTCTCCCTGCCTCGACTTACTGAGAGCTGGGATTACAGGTACCACTGTGCCTAGCTCCTTTCTCAGCTCTACGGTTCAGGTTCTTGAATCTGCATTCTAAACAGACCGTAGCAGTTAGGAAGTTATGAGTTATGAAGGTGTGGGCTGTTACATCTTCCTAAACGCGGCTTTAGGTGCACACAGGGAATGAAGAGGATGATATCAGAGTACCAGGTTCTGCAGCCTGGTCAGGCCTCTAGATAGGAAGAACTGTAGTAGCGGTCTTTAGTTTAGCTTGGGTAAGTCTGGTAGTGTCTCTGCAGAATGCAGTGGCTAGACAGACCTGCTGGTGTCTCCTGCTCTTGCTCTTCCCAGGGTGGCTAATCACATGGGTGGGACACAAGGGCTGTCCACAGCTAGATCTGGCTGCTGGCTGCACCTGTGCCCTGGAGCTTCTGAGTAGCCAAACCTATATACATTTTACATAGCAGGGGTGGGACTGGGGTGCTGAACTTGAAGCTGTGTGTGGCTGTCCTGGACCCTGATAACATGGAACCCCAGCCCTGTGGTCTGCCACAGTGGGTGCTTCTCTAGGACAGTAAAACAGGTCTTTGTAGGGCCAGGCACAGCCAGGGAGTGCTGTCTGGAAGAACTTGAGAAGCCAGCGCACAGGGATGACCGGAACCAAAGAGCGATGTCTGGATTCAAGTGTGACTTACGTGACCGTGGACTTGAACGCTGTGGGTTGGAGCCCAACTCCATCTGCTGAGATTTCTTCTCTTGGAAGTTAGTATTCCAGAAACGTGGGATTCTTTTCTCCATTTTGGCCTCAGTTTCCTCACTTGATAATTTGGTCATAAAAGGGCAGCTTCCAGAGTCCAGGGCACCCCGTCCTCAGTGGTCTCTCCAGACTGTACAGACTGTTAGTTTCTGCTGGCCTCTGAGAGCCACCTGTACACCACCTGCAGGCCTCAGGCCTGAGGAGGGGTGTGTGGATGGGCGAGAGCAGCTCTCTGAGGACTCACCACTGGCAGAGCCAATTGAGGGACTGAGTCAGCTACAATACACACCCAAGTGATTGCTCACCACCAGGCCTCACACAAATGGCCATTTTTAAATTTTCCAAAGTAAAGAGAAAATTTTGGAATCAGGTGTGGCACACACCTGTAATCCCAGCAGTCAGGAGAGTGAGGCAGGAGAATTGCTGTGAGTTTGAAACCAACCTAAACTATACAGTGTGGGCAAGCCTGGCCTACAGAATGAAAACCTGTCTCAGAAAAAAGAAACAAACCAAAGGATGGCGACTTTAAACAAAACAAAAACAAACAAACAAAAAAAAAAACACTGGGGAATGAGAGTTTAAAATCCCCCAAATTTTTACGATTTGTATGGATTGGGACCAAAGCTTTTGTATTTTCTAAAACAATGAAAGCAAAAGTTGGAGCCCCTTGTCCTCCGTACACTAATGATGTGAGCTAGGGGCAGGTTGGGGGCCTTGGTCTGGACTGTATGAGAAGAACCCTACCTCACAGGGCTGTTGTGAGGTGTGGGAGGGGAGCCCCAGCACTGGGCCTGGCCAACAATGGACTCCAATAAACACTAAAACTGAAATGTCTCACAGAGTAAAGTGCATGGTTTTTGTTGAGTCTGCTCTGCCTACAAAGCTAGGTGGGAGACTGAAACAGTGTCGTGTTTGAGGATGTGTGTGGGCATTTGCCCTGGCCTGTCCTGCTCCTTAGTATAAAGGGTGAGAGGTATAGTTACCTTTCCTGGGGGTTGGTGGTGTGAAGACCCCCACACACACTGGGCATCGAGCGAACTGTGCATTGCAGGGGCCCAGGGTTGCCATCCCCCTGCAACAAATGCCCTGCCCAATCAGGTAGCACTCCCTCCACCTGGAGCTGCCCCCATTCTGACCCTCTTGTGGACCCTGGAGCTTCAAGGCTGCAACAGGTGCCAAGTCGGGCTTAGTAACTTCATTTTCGCACTCTTTCTCTGAGCCAAGACTTGACCGCAGGTGGGCTGCTTGGGAAAGACTCGATATTTTGGTCACAGCCCGACTGAGTTGAGAAATGTGTTCCTCGCTCAACTCCACTCTCCGTGGTTCTTTTTGTTTCATCTTTGAGATGCTCTTACAGTGTAGCCCAGGCTGCGCTCAGACTCAAGATCACCCTGCCTCTGCCCCCCCTGGGGTTACAGGCACAAGCCAGCACATCCCACTGATTCAGCCATGCTTTTTATCATGGTGTTTACATCAAGATGCATGGTCCTACTGTCCCCTCCCTTAGTCTTTGTAGTGCCTGCCCTCTGCATGCTGGGAATGGCCAGATCCCTTGTTCCTGCGGCATGGTGTCCCTAGTGTGAGGACTGGTCCAGGGCGGTGGTGGCCTGTGGGACGTCTGGAGATGCACACTGATGGCTGCTTGCCGAGCACATGGGTCTTTCTGCTGTTTTTGTTCTTGGCCCTTGGCATCTGGTACCATTTGCATCCTGTGGGTTTTGAGAAGCACAAGGGACAGAAAAGGAACAATTGCTCTGGATTTAGAGACATGATCCGCTCTTCTCTGGTGTCTGACAAAGACAGTCCCTTTGAGAAAAAAAATGAAAATAAACCTTTTTAAAGCTTGGCCTAAGGGAACTGTCCTGATCCTCACCCCTGTCTCATTCTGTACTGAGGTACACTTGAAAACACCTATTTCTTACATGCCCTTCTAAGGGAAAACTTGCAGGTGCTAGCATGGTGTGGCTGTGTCTCCGTATCTGTATCCAAGCCACAGTGATGACAAATCCCCGTTATCAGAGCTGGATGGTGTGGTACATGCCTGAGATGCCAACACTGGTAGGGTCATCCGTAGCGTGGGTGAGGTCCTGGGTTCAATTCTTGCTACATCAAAAGAACAGTACTAAAAAAGGCCCTAGAAGCTTCTCTGGTCACTGTAGTTATCCCGGAAGAGCCTGCAGTAACATTGATGTTCTCCAGCCAGCCTTGCCTTGGGACCAGAACACTCGCAGCTGCTCCAGCAAGGCTTGCAGCCCACCTGTGTCCTAGAGCTCATCCACGAGTCCTCTGCAGGAAGAATGGTAGGGTGGCAGTCACAGGTGTGTGGCCACGTAGACACACAGATTTTTTTTTAAAGGTTGTAAAGATAATTAAGTGAGGTGAAGAGGTGGTTTAGAACATGTGTTGGTCTTGCAGAGGACTGGGGTTCAGTTTCCAGCACCCTACATGGTGGCACACTCTAACTTTGGTTCCAGAGGATTCGGTGCCCTCTTTTGGCTTCCTTGGGCACTGCATGCAAGTGGTGCACAGGCGTACAGGCCAAACACACATTAAATAAAAATGTTACAGAAGTATTAGGGGCAAGTGAGATGGCTCAGTAGGTCAAGGCACTGAAGCCTGATGAACTAAGTTCAGACCCACGTGAAAAGAAAACCCACTCGTGAGCATTGTTCTCTGACATCAACACAGTGGCGGGGCATATACATACGCTAATGTCATAAAACAACATGCTAACATCTAGAAATAGAGACATTCCAGGCTAGGGGACCTGTATGCTCATCACAGCCAATCCTAGAGGTTCTGTGAAGACAGCCCTCCCTATTGATTGTGACTGACTCCTGGAGCCAGAGAGGTCACCCACAGTCACTAGAGGCACCGCAGGAAACAGCCTGTGAACTCCAGTGCCCCAGTCAGACTGGTCCCAAAGGACAATGGGCTGGCCTTGCTCTTTTCACAGCCACTAGGTGGCACAAGTCTCACGACTGCCTGTGTCTGACTGAACTGCTCATTGGGGGGGTCCTCTAGCCAGGGTGGGGCATCCTTAAAGCTAAGTAGTTAGACTCCCTGGAGTCTCAGTGGGGGCTGGCCTGAAAATCCCAGACAAATATTGCACAAGACAGCTCTGCCTTTGGTTTTTGTTTTTAGTGTTTATTAATGTGGTGTGTGTATGATGTCTATGGGGGACACCACAGCCCCCTAAAACGACTATTTCTGCTTCTGACATGGTGAGAATGTGCCTCCATTACATCAACACTCACCTTGGGTGCTATCAAGGGTGTGTTTCTGGGGTACTTTGTCCTCCAGAGGTGGGGAAACAGGTAGCTGTGCTTCACCCCACGCTATGGTATGAAATGTCCCAACAGACTCAACATTTGGTCGCCGACTGGTGACAGAAATAGAATCGCAGGGGCCCTTCCTAAGCAAGGAGAGAAAGACAGTGGCTAAGTGGACCCCAAGTGCCCCTTGCCCGGGAGAATGGAGGAGGCTGGGAAAAAGCCAGAGGACCAGCGAGGGGCGGGGCTCTGCCAGGTCTCTGAGGCTGCCTTCTGGAATATGGAGCATAGTGAACACAACAGGAAGCCAGCCTCTTGCTGGCTTCACCCTGCCCCTTCGTGTGGCTGCAGAGCTGCCTTCCGCTGTTGACATATCGCCCACACTGACCCAGAGTCATTTGTGAGACCTCTAGGACCAGGCTGACAAATGGCTCCTGGCAGGGACACGTGCCGGGTCCATCCCCCCCTCCCTTCAGGTCGCTTATTGTCAGTAGCATTATTTATGCCCTCAATTACGTCAGCAGATGAAATGTGTCTCAGTGGCCAAGTCATTTTTTGCTTCAAGTGACCTCGGCAGGCAGGGCTGGAGACCGTGATGGGTGCCTCTTCCCGTGGGTAAAGCCTATTTGTTTGAACAAGCCCGTCCATGTTCTAAGTTCTAGGAACACCTGCTTCTGTCGGTTTTCACTTTCTTTGCCTTGTGCCTTGAACAAGTTCAAGGGGCTACCCCTTCCTTTCATCTTTAGGGCAGGGCTCAGCTTCTGGGGATCTGAGTTCCACGGATGGGAGGTGACACTGTCCCACCTGCAAGGAAGAGTGGACTTGCTTGTTTGTTGTGAATCTTAGGGTCTGAACTCGGGGCTGCTTGATGCCCCATTCTGTTGCTCTCTTTTGTTTGTCCGTGTGTGGCTAGTGTGGGTGCACACAGGCACGGCACACATACAGAGGTTGGAGGGCAGCCACTCACGTGGATCCTTAGGCGCAGAGGTTGGAGGGCAGCCACTCCTGTGGGTCCTTAGGCGTTTTCCACCTTTTGTTTCACTGGCCTGGTTCTTCCCCCACAGGCCAGGCTTGCTGGCCCAAGATCTTACAGACACCCACTTGTCTCTTGTCTCCCATCCCCCATCGCTAGAGGCGCAGGCACCATCGCGTGCCCTTTTACTTAGGTTCTGGGAATCTGAACCCAGGTCCTCATGCTTGCAAGGCAGACACCAGCTAAGCAACTGAGAAACCTCCCCGAGCCCAACACCTCTTAAAAACTTTTGTTGATGGTTTTTTGATGTTGTTGTTTGGTTTGGTTTGGTTTTGGTTTTCCAAGACAAGGTCTCTATTTAGCCCTGGAACTTGCTTTGTAGACCAGGCTGGTTCAAGACCAACCTCTGCCTCCCAAATACTGGGATTAAAGACATACACCACCACCACCCAGTTTAAAAAGTCATTTCTGAAATGATCTCATTGTGTAGCTTAGGCCTTAAACTTTTTTCTTTCCTTCTCTCTTTCTTTCTCCCTTCCTCCCTCCTCTCTCTCTCTCTCTCTCTCTCTCTCTCTCTTTCTTTGTTTTTGACGCAGGATCTCATTGTGTAACCCTGACTAGAACTCGTTCTGTAGACAGGCTGGCTTGGAACTCACAGAGATCCTGCCGCCTCTGCCTCCTGAGTGCTGGAATTAAAGATGTGTGCCACCATACCAGACTAGGCCTTGAACTTTGGGTTCTCCAGCCTCTGTCAGCTGAGTAGCTGAGCTGGTAGATATGTGCCAAGACACCAAACAGCCTGACACAGTCCCAAGTCTCTGAGGAGATAGGGATACACCGGGTTCTATGTGCTAATCAATGATTACAGTGGGGGGGGGGGGGGAAGGTGTTTTGTTTTCTTTCATTTTGTTTTGTTTTTTCAAGATGTGGTTTCTCAGCGTGTATTCCTGGCTGTTCTGGAACTCGCTCTGTAGACAATGCTGGTTTTAAACTCACAGAGGTCCACCTACTCTGCCTCACCAGTGCTGGGATTAAAGGCTACACTGGACTGTGGGTTTCTTGAGACAGGCTTTCACCATGTAGCCCTGACTTTCCTGGAACATTTTATATAGACCAGACTGGCGTCAAACTTGTGACAATCCCCCTGCCTCTCACTGCCCTCTGAGTACTGGGATTACAGTTGTGCGCCACCATGCCCAGCCTCTTTGCTCCAAAGTTTCTGTATCAACTTGACACAAGCTAAAGTCACCTAAGAGGAGGGAACCTCAGTTAAGAAAATGCCTCTATAAAATTAGGCTGTAGGAAGCCTGTAGGGCATTTTCTTAGTGATTGATGTGGGATGGCCCAGCCCATTGTGGGTGGTGCCATCCCTGGGCAGGTGGTCCTGGGTGCTGAGCAAGCCATGATAAGTCAGCCAGTAAGCAACACTCCTCCATGGCCTCTGCATCAGCTCCTGCCTCCAGGTTCCTGCCTTGGGCGAGCTCCTGTCCTGACTTCCTTCAATGATGGACTACAGTGTGGAAGTGTAAGCCCAATAAACCCTGTCTTTCCCATCTTGCTGTGGTCATGGTCTTTCATCACAGCAATAG